ATAATATTTCACAATTTAATATTGCTTATCAACTATCAAGTCGTATACAGTATGCCGTATGCAGTATGCACTATGCAGTTGTATACAGTAACTCGTATAATCTAAGATTGTGGTTATTGTTATGGCTGTTATTGATAGAACTATTTACATTCTACAACCGCCGAGGTTACCCGTGGCCGAACGGCGAACGCTCGAGAAACATATACAATGTTATTATAAATAGACTATAGTGCTGAATAATAATAATATGTATACATTGAATATGACAATATTTACAAATGATACGTATGATAACAGCAAATCTAGTATATTCTGTATTCGTTTAGTGTTATATTTCATTTTAATTTATTATAAACTAACCGTACGTAACTACGTAAGGTAAAATGTCTCAAGTTAATAAACGTCCTGCAGCAGTATCGATAACTGATTATTTTCAGTGTTCTACAGCCGAGTGTGAAAGAGGCTTTTTAAATAATATTCTAGCCTTTTAAATATTATTTGTAATGATCTTTGAACAAGATTAACTGTTGAACATATTTCCCAATTTATGTTTATTAAAATAAATGGACCTCYWTTACATCTTTGGAAACCAGAAATCAATGTAAAGCCATGGCTAGTGCGTCATAGATCGGCGGACGATATGAGATGCAAAAAAATATTGAAACTCAAAGTATTTGGAATAWTTGAGCAATAAAAATTTTAACATATTTATGAGTTTTATATATTTTTAAATTGATGGTTGATACTGAAAATTAAGGAAGAAAAGCGATAAGTATGTTTTGTTTATATATATATAATTTATCGAGCGGAGCGAGAACAATTTTTGGTATATTGACTAAGTATCGAGCGTAAATTATTTTTGAGATACGACATACAATTTAAAAAATATAGTGTATACTCAAGACATTATTTACCAATACCTACCTATAGCAAAATTCCAATTTTTTGTATGGTTATTACTTAGGTACTATAAGTAGGTACTTATTACTTAATTAGGCATTAGCAAGGCCCAAAAGTATGGTAAGTATAATATGTTAAACAACTAACACGAAAGTAGAATATTAGGTACTCTAGTGGCTATATATTATGTGTACCAACATTTATTATGACATAGCCAAGAATTATATRGTTACATGTCGAAACATAATATTATATACACAAATTAAAATGCGATAAGATTCATGTTACAAAACATGAGCGATATTTTACTCTGCTATCGGACCGACTGCGTGATCTGTACAATGTCACGCAACGATATTATCTGTTTATCACGACACGTACATCTTCTTGTAAATAAAAAATTCGATAGTGCGCTGAATGGTATATCAGCTACACGATTTGTTTTTATGCGCGATGCCGTGTATCTTGTAGGTAAGTATCTACTATAGGTAGGTATATAAAACGATGGGCTCGYCGGAATATTGATGTAAACGACCGAATACGCTGGTCCGAGTTGTATTGCCAAAAAAATGTCGATCAAAAGGATTTCAGTCATTCTGATGGTGGCGATGACAATCGCTTCTAATACGGTACGTTTGCTCTACACGATTTCGTGTTCACGCATGTAATGTTGAATTCTCTTTTCCTGACGACATTTTACGATTTGCTGTGAACGACCGTCATCTGAGAACCAAACGGCGGTTTGAGATTTTTTACAGATCTTGTAACCGCTACAACTTACTTTTTTCAGGTCCATTGTACGCCCACATATGACGTTGGAACAGCAGATACGCCCASGCCCAATACACAGTTATCGACGACTTTGCCCGTATCGAATGCACACACTTCGCTCAATGACGAATTRTTGAATGTCCTAAAAAACTTCCACTCGTCGTTACCGGGCTCGGATCAGAAAACACCGACGTCGGTATCCGAATCAATTWTACCGCCTTTGGTAAACGATCGAATAACGATTATGCATTTTCCCGCGGCGTCAGAGCTCGGGCCTAACAACGGCACGACTCCAAATCCAATGGTTCCTGGTGTGATCCACCATCAGCGACCGTTCGGCCTTGACATGCAAATGCCTAATCGCGGCAACAGTCAGATTGCAGAACCACCGTCATCGCTCACGGTATTACAGTCACGAGGACTCGCCGGAAATCATTTTTCGTCTTCCGTTCCGCCAACGNATTTAATATCTAACCATAATTTATCAACAAGTGGATTTTTGATAAAGCTTTAGGACGATCAGGTAGATTACAAAAATTATGGCCGATCGCTTACGCCGCCGTTAGACACTATTCGAAATTAAGTTATTTATCAATACAAAATACAATGCTTGCCTTCAAAAATGTATTAAGTGGTATATACTCACATCACTACATATAATACGTTMATTTATATTATATTATACAAATATAATTATTATATACGGTTATGCATTTTAAAAATAATAGTTAAATCTTAAATGTTTGAACTCAATAAGTTTATTTTTTTCCCCAAACGTGGAATGTTACACCAATTTTCATGTTATATGGTACCTATATATGTGCATTGAAAATAATAGGTAATTTACTGTCTACTCAGTGGCGTATTTTGGGAGGGTGTTCTGACTTCTTACTATACTTTATTTAATACTTTATCTCCACAAGTATAGTTTCATCACGAATTCATACATTCTTTTTCGGAATAACATAGCCATGGATACTTCAGAAGCCACGAATATTGAAACTTTAAATTTACTTGCTTGTTTTTTTTTTTCATATACATTTTTATTGGAAATTTTTAATTGATATCTGGCACCCATAAATTATTCATAATATCAGATATTTCATTTTGTGATAATGTACGGTTTATATAAAATCCTATAATATCATATACATTCATAACATTAGTAGTAATATCAGGTATAGTTTTTAAGATATGAAAGATATAGTGGTTGAATTATCTGTATTTTTAATCTAGGTAATTGTAGAAGAATGTGTTCACTTTTTGGAGGGGGTGATAATGAACATGACGCATCTTCTAATTCAATCTGAATCGGGTTGACTACGACAGTTCATAAAAGAAGAAATATATGTTTGTTTCTTTTGTGCCATTTTTACCGTTTTAAAAGCACAGTAACATTATTAAATACTTTTTAATTTTATAGTAAATTAATTAATTTAACTATTCTTTTTACATATTATAGTTCGTAGTTTCGTACGGGTCCTTAAAGACTTAAAGCTAGAAAAATAAATTACCATAATGTTGTACCTTATACTCACGTAAATGTGACGTATTTACGACGTCAACAGTCGGCAGCATTTCAGCAGAAAATAAAAGCGTACTTCGAGTGTATACTGTACACAGCAGTGCATTGAAYTATATAATATTATATAGTTCAATGACACGATGTTACAGTACAGTCAGTACACTTTATATCGTTGGCCTTTGCTATAGCGATTAGTAGGCAATAATAATTGTTGTATTCGAAGAAGATAATAAGGCTATAGCCAATAATACGGCTCGCCAAAATCACGAAACGATAATACAATTCTAAGATTTACGTAGTTCACCGTTTACTGAAGTTCAAATAATATTTTGCTAATGAGAATGACTATTTGATGGAATAACAGTATAMGATKAAATATACATTATTCAATTTTCAAAGCAGTTTTAAAATATTTCGTCATTAGTCAACAGTATTTTGGGATACTTCAGTAATGAATAGAACTAGAAAAAATTTGGGAGGGGTCAACCCCCGGGACACCCCCCACCTAAATACACCACTGGATGTACTCACTGATTAGTAATTGAAACTCTTAAATCGTATTGTCAAAAATAACATAAGCACAACAATAATAGTAATAATATTTTACGTCCTATGAATATGCGATCCGTGATCTCTTTTATAGTTTTATCATAAAATATTTGAAATTTTTGATCATTATTATATAATATGATATAATTGATATAAACTACTTCTAAACTTTTCAGCTGTCRCAATAATTATTAAGAATAAACTAAACTAACCTAAACAATTTTATCACCGTATTATTTTTTTCTTATGWATTATATACTGCTCATATTTTGATTGTAGCTTATATAATAATTATTATACTATAGGCAATGAATTAAATTGTTTTAAACAACAATATGGCGCACACGTCATTAATAAAAGAAATTGGATGCTTAACACAAAGTTATGACGTCGCTTACTATAAGTATATCTACTAACCTACTCATTGAATTAATATAAATGTCATTTACATTAAAATGTTGTAACTTACACGGCRCTTTTTTCATGTCTACCGTTTACAGCAAAAATGGTAACAGTTTATAACAAGTTATATAATAATGATTATGATATAACTAATAACTACATGAAAACTATCTATTGATCCGATAGAGAGTTATTTACAACACTAGATGGTAGATGGAAAGTGTCACTTATAGCAAATAGCCTTTTAAATGACAATATATGTTATATTTTATATTTATTTATGTACACAGAAAATAAATCATGTGACTACATTTCAAAATATATGATAAATGATATCTGATAATAATATAATATGTTAAGTATGCTATACTAACTTTTTATTGATAATCTGTAAGGCAATTTAATATTTACTCTGCAGGTCACAATTATATTTATATTGTAGTTACACTGCCGTACTATAAATATACGATCGTATAACAACAATAAAGTGTTAAAGATAGGTATGTTGTTACTATTATTGCAATGCGAGGCCAGGCAAAAACCAAATAAGAAACAATTTATGTTTACAATAGATAAACTTATCAACAATGAATTAACTAGGTTGTAAAATATTATAATGAATACAATGTTGTGACTTTTAATGAGAAAATATATACAGAGAAATACCTACTTTGTCAGTCACACCTCACCTACTCATTCGATAAATCCTGTATAATATAATATAATATAAATATTATTATTATATCACTAAAAAATATTTAAGTAATTGCGAGCTATATTAAGTACGTTGGTGTTTCATTTGATCGCATTTCGGCTATAATCGTATTATGTAGGTCAATAACTACCTTTTTTTTCTGTTTAAACCAACGGGCAATGACGCCGTGGGGACTGATATCGCATTACTTCCGCGGAAGGTCAATAACTTCCTACATAATAATATAGAAACCAATAAAATATAGTAACGGGTGTCGGGTGSGAAAAAATGTATTCAAACCAAAAAATGAGTACCTACCCCATTAAGGAGCTACAACATAAAACTTAAACAATGTAAGAAATGGGTTTATTATATTCCTCAGAAATGTGCAGACATAGAACTAAAATGGTGCAAGTTAACGGCAAAGAGCCGGGAAACGTGTTATGATAATGTTAAGCTACTACACAACAAAGACTRCAATAAGTATTAATATGCACAGAACATTCGTTGCAACATTGCAAACAATTATATATATTATATCCATCATAGTCATCATACACTGATTATGCATCAACAGAGGACGATGATGTGACTGTGGCAGACTACTGCAGCTATGGATTCGCCGGAATACTGCATAACTGTGGGTGGACTGGACAGTAGTTAACTTAACTGTTATTTAGCACATAGCTGACAGTGCGTCCGACCACTGCGGTTGGTTAGGTTATTGGACAACGTCATTGGCGAGGCCGTGCACTTTCCTGTGGTTATACATGTTGTGATTGTTGCCGTACCGCTTGCCACACACGGTGCACCGTATATTCCGCCGGGAGGGCCACTTCGGATCGGATTCACTATCTGTCGTCTYTGTCTTGATATCAGCACAGATCTCGAGGGCGTGCCGGCGCTGCACGTGGTCGATGAGTAACAACACGTCTCCCTTGTACGAGTGACATACGCCACATAAGGCAGCCAGGGCTTCGGGATGCGCCGTGTTCATGTGCCTGTCGTACTTGGACGGGTTCCAGGACAGGTGGCCGCACAGCTCACACGTCAACGGTGGCCGGTCGTTCGGACCCGCGATGTCGTGATGTCCATCGTATCGGTGGTGCGCACGGTGATCTGTGCACATGGCCGCAGCGAAAAATCGCCTACCGCAGCCAGGCACGTGACACAACAGTCTCGGGTCTGCGCCGTGCTCGTCGCGTGCGTGCCGCCACAGTTCCGTCTTTCCGCCAGCGCAATGTGCGTAACACGTTTCGCACACTTCGCCCAAGTAAACTTCAGCGGCCGTTTGTCCGTCGGCATTGGTGCAAGACGCCATAAAGTGATCGGCTACAGGCATAGGACGTGCGTACAACATATTCATCTGAGGCCGTGGACATTTATATTATTAAATTTAAATTGTATAGCATAAAACAATGGTGTTGTATTGATTCCGTGTTAGATATATTTTTATTACGGGGACAAAGGTAAATAGTAAATACAAGTACATACAGTAAAACCTCTCTATAACGAAATCGAATGGGATCAAACATTTTTCCGTTATACCTAAAGAGTTTTCCGTCATAGAGAGGTAGAAATTTCATATATTATTTGCACCGGGACTATTGACATTTCCCGTTATAAGGAGGATTCCGTTTAAATAAAGAGTTCGTTATAGAGAAGTTTTACTGTAATTTTAAAGTAAAGCCTCGATCACACGAGCGTTTCACTGAGGAAATTTTACGACGGACTTTATAACGTCCGTTGTTGAATTATGTGATTTACTGCACGACTGTGTCGTCAGTCACACACTTGACGTCCGTCGAATTTACCGTCTGGTCGACGTCGACGACGTCCGATAACAAGTGCTACGACGGACGTTATAACTACTAATAACGTCCGTTCTTTCAATACTCGTATGACCAAGGTCTAAATCGATTCAGTTCCGGTATAATGTTAAATTGTAAACTTATAGAACCTAAAAAAATAATAAATAAACTTCATTGAAAAATACCTCAAATATTAATTTTATCAATTGTTTTTTGAAGTGAACGAAAACATAATAAGACAATGTTTTGATATAAATATATAATATAATTGAATATATTATTTTTTTAAATCGGCTGAAAAAAATACAGGCTCAACATAAAAATATTTTAAATAATTTTTTATAAGCTTTAAAAAATTGTTTATTTATGTTTGAATTCGAATTTCACAAACTGATTTTTTTGTAACATCTTTAAATAATCTGGAACTATTTGGTGTTGGTGGTAGACACACTAAAATCGATTGGTTTTATTAATTTCCCCCCACCTTCCAAGCTGTTTTGCATGTACAACATTTATAGACACAAAAAACAACTGTAGATATAGCGGACTGCATAATATTATATATTCCCATATAGGAAATTAGGAACATTTATTTTGTGCTACAATATTTCATTATGCTTTATGCCAACAGTTAAACAGTCTGATGTTTACAAAATAATTCAATAATAGACATTAAATAAATAGACGTTTTATACAACCTGAATATATCATAGAGKAATACTCTATCAAATTATTATTATTATTCTTTTATTACTCTATGGAATATATGATGCATTTTTATAYTTCTTAAATCTTATTGAGCAATATTAAAATAGTGCTATTATATTAAATTATTATAAGTTTGACGCATTAATAATATTATTCTACGTATAATTATTTAAGACTTACTAATATAAATAAAATTATATTTTCTATGATGATTGATAAATAAGTGATCAGTAAAACAATTATTGTATAATATTTGATTTGATTTATTGTTATTGTTATTCTTTGAACCGATGATATGTGTTATAGACTTATTAGGATCACTGCTTAAAATATAATTAATCCGTGGTTAGGACGTAATGTCGTAATTGGAATATACGAAAAGGGATGTACTTATTATTTCTATTTGGATGCAATATCGGCTTTACTCTAGCCACAATCAGACATCTCTGGGCAAAACATATGTACGAATATATACCATTATACCATATACAATTTACTGAGACATGATTTTATACTTGATAAGAGAAAAGAGAAGTTTTAATTGTTTCCAATTTAAGTAATATATTATACTATACGGTTTATACATCGGCATACATTTCTTAGTGCAGTGGTCAAGGGTTAAACAATGTTTTTACTTTTTTCACAATAAAAAAATGTAAACGTAAATGATATATCAGCTAGGATTTTATGCAATTCGAAATGTCACCATATATATTTTTTTCTATAGTGMAATTAATAAAATAATATTCAAATAAATACATTTTATATTTTTATACGGTTACAAACTTTATATAACACTCATTTAATAAAACTAAACAAAATATTTTGTAATTCAGTCTAAATGATTGTCAATAAAATATGTTATGACTAGGGCTGGGATCTTAATGTCCTAAAAATCTCAAAAATAACTAGTTTATACTTACGGACCAACATTACAAAACATCAAGAAAAAAAATGCTTTTTTTCAAAATTCTAGGCCTATTTATGAATTATGAGTTTATATTAAAGCACATTTAGGTAATGATTATCATATTATAGTGTTGAGAAAAATATTTCCTATTTTGAAAATGGAACCTGTTGATAATTATTATAGAAGTAGGTACCTACTATAGTAARAATAATATTGTTTATTAAACAATAAAAAACTCTCATTTTATAAAATTAAAATTAATTAATATTGTAGAGTATAATTACTATCTCTGAATAGTTCATTTATATTTTCTACTATGACAGTATTTTTTTCAAACGTATTTTGCTTTCAATATTTTTAATTACAAATTAAAATCGAAAAACACAAAAATTTTATGAACACGTAGAATAATTGATTTAAAGTGAAAAACAATGATGTTTGTTTAATTTTTTATAAGTATTCCAACAAGATAAGAGCGTTTTGCATAACAACGAATCATTCATTATGTTACACAATAGAGAGCACATAGCACATGATCGGTGAGTTTATAAATACATAAAAAAACAAAACTTTAGTCAAAATTGCAAATTTATAATAATATAATAATGTTATTAATTATTATTCTATTTCAGAAGTTTGTACTGAGTAATAACAATTAAAATGATATTGTAGTCGTAAAAAATAAAAATGATAACGACGCGGTAATAAAGTCAATATTTATTGTAATTAAAAAGTACTCAATCAAATATCAAATTTGTTAATAAAACAATATAGTAACTTTTTATGGGAAAAAATGTTAATAACTATTGTTTTACATGCACAGCACAATGCATGTTTTGAACTAGATAACAATAATAGTATAATATAACTTATTCAATGTCTATTTACGAGTTTATTTCTTTTTAAACAATATTTTAAATTTATCTATACGGATTAACAATATTATAGTGAAAAAACTAAAAAATAAGGACCATGTATCCATCAGATTATAATATGTATTGTATATAGCATCCCTTTCCCGGAATCATAGCCCCGAGTCATGCCGAGGTGATGTATGTCTCGTGACGCAGCACACGCCTTAAGTGATAGCTATATATACCTATACAGACTAATAAGCTGCTGGTCAAGTGGTTGTAGACGATCGATCACAGTTCCGCAATTCCGTTTTGTAGACGTTGTCGACGGTCAGCGTGTAAGACCATGTTCCGGTGTCGTCGTCGAACCTGCACGTCGGTCCCACCAATGTGGCTTCGGTGTTGAGCGGCAGTGGATCGTTGATGTGACTGTGACCTATGCCATCGATTCGGAACACTGGGAACTGTACAGCAGCCGCGAACCGCTGGAACACCAGGGCCATCARGTGGTCGTCCGACGACGGTACATCGTTACAATTATCCGTGTGCTGCTCATTCACWCTGAACGAACCAAACACCACGGCCGTAGTACCGTCGAACACTCCGGCCAGCTTCATGTGATCGAAGCTTCGTTCCAACGAGTACGGTTGGACGCGTGCACATCTTCCAGGAACACGATTTTMCCGTCACCCCGGAAGCTACACGGCGTGCCCAGCGAGTTCTCGATTAGCGTCAAGTTTCCACCCGCCATCTTGGATCGCAGTGACACCGCGTCCCAGAGGCCGTCGGCTGAGACCCGGTTCGATCGGCCGGTCACCACGGCTACCAGTGCGTCCACCGATCGCCTGTCCACCGTGCCATTGGCAATCATTTCCAACATTGTGCTGTGAATCGTCTGGCCACCCGTATACCGTCTGCAGGTACACGTGCAGTGCTGTTGCATCGCTGTATCCAATCAATGTTTTCCGGGCATCCCGGATCCTCTGCTTTTGGTCCGCTGGTAGTTATTTGAACTCAAAAAGCTTATTTTTCTCCCAAACGTGGACTCAATTGGTACATCAATTTTCTTTGTTCAGATACCATAGGTACAAAATAGGTATGCATTGAAAATAATAAGTAATTTATGGTGTAGATACGCTTACAGATTAATACTAGAAACCTAACCGTTTTGTCAAAAACGACATAAGCCCACTAATAATAATAATGATGTGAATATGTGATCGGTGTTCACTTAAACAAATTTGATGATTATCGTATCATAAATTATTTGGAAGTTTTAATCATCATATACTATATACCTATATGATATTTAATTAAAAACAGCTATACTTGTGCTGACCACAATGTAGAGGAGATATCTTAGATATCGTTTGTTTTAAAGTTATATCAAAAACCAAAATAGATTTTGTCGAAAACTGATTGTGTGTAAAATTCCCTGTTTTTCCTTTAATTTTTAGTTTGTATATCCCGGTTATTTAAAAAAATATTGAGAATTTTTTACTTTTGACCCCCCCCCCAAAAAA